GACGTCTTTTTCCCTGCCCCGGGTTTCTCTAGAATGATGCCATTCTCCCTTGCCTCGCGTCGACGTTTCGCTTCGCGGTCTGCTGCCGTGGACTCTATTCCTTTGCGTATGGACATGGGCATTTTCGCTTGTTTGTAGATTGACGTTTTAGACCCCAGCGCCGAGAGACGGAGATCCGTTGCTAGATGTCTGTTCCGCCCTACATGTTCTGTCGAGGCGTCGCCGGTTTTGGCGGCCGCCGCTGAGAAAAGATGGCTTTCTGATAGGAGCCGCTGCAGTTCGAGGTCGTTCTTTAGTAACGAGGGTGCGTCTTCTTCATCTTCTGTGGGTTTTCCCTTTTTCTTCGTTGAAGAGGACGCATCGGTGGATGAAATTAAGGTGGGTGGACGTGAGGATAGCCAGGCGCGGGCTTCCCGCTTATCGAGGGTTTTTGTTATTGTAGAGTAGGCGTCTGTGTGCGCTACGACTTCCACGACCTCAGTAGGAGGGGTCGCGGACTCGGATCCGGAGTCGCTATCTTCGTTCTCCGATATGCCTCCCCATGATTCAGCTTCAGATGATTCTTCATTTTCTTCGTCCACTTCATTTTCTGTTTCTAAGGTCGGTGTCGAGTTCGCTTTAGGAAATAAGGGCTTGAACTCGGCTTCGAAAAGCTGGGCTAGTTTCGCTTGGGCTTCTTCTTTAGACAATGTCGATTTTGTATTCTGAGTGCGCATTTTGCGCTTTCCGAGGACCGATGCCATGGTATTTGTGCAGTTTTTCCTATATTTCAGAGGTAAACCGCGGCGGCATAATACTATTCACTAATTACAAGTATTCAGACCCAAGATAGTTCAGTCTCGTCAACTTTCAACAAACTTTAATATGGAGAATTCAGCCTTGCAGACCACTATAACTCACTAGCCAATCATTTTGCTAGTTGCTTGAGGTACCTGCTGGCTGGTACCTTCAGGTACAGGAAATCATAAGTACCTGCAGGTACCCCTATCAGAATATCAGCCATAATCACCCCGCCAAAGCTCTAGTAGTCTTGAACTGAACCAGCCCACACCCCACCAACAGTGTTAAGCTCCCACATGAGCCCTCATGTATAAATACCTTACACACGTATCAAACATCACTGATATAATAGCCGAAAGCGACCGTATTTTCCTTGGTTGCGCTTTGAGTTCACACGACAAGAATACTACTAAGCTAAAGATGACGCGCTTCAGACCCTGCATAGATCTCCACGCGGGACAGGTCAAGCAAATAGTCGGGGGTACCCTCGATAGCGCAACATCAGAACTCAAGACGAATTTCGTCTCCCAGCGACCTGCCGAGTACTACGCAAAGCTATACCGTGACAATGAGCTCGAAGGGGCACACGTGATAATGCTAGGCCCCGGCAACGACGAGGCCGCAGATGAGGCACTAGCTGCATGGCCAGGTCATCTGCAGGTCGGAGGCGGGATCAACGATAAGAATGCCGCGCAATGGATCGAAAAGGGCGCAAGTAAGGTTAGTGGACTAAAGTATTGAGTACCCAGATTGTGAGCGGAAGGTTCACCCTTGCTCCGTCTCTTTATGCGCCATGCTACGACACTGTAAGCTAAAGAAAGACTGGTATCCAGGTCATCATTACATCTTTCTTATTTCCAGAGGGGAAATTCAGCCAGGAGCGGCTCAACGCCGTATTGTCAGCTTTGGGCGGCGATAAAGACAAGCTTGTCATAGACCTCAGCTGCAGGCGTCGAGGCCCTGATAAATGGTTTGTGGCTATGAATAAGTGGCAGACAATAACCGACATGGAAATAACACAAGGTGAGTCTGACTTTGAATTGCCGGGAGGGGTCGGGTAGCTGACAGAACCCGCACAAAGAATCTATAAAAGGACTTGAGCCATATTGCTCCGAGTTCCTAATTCATGCTGCGGATAACGAGGGTCTGCAGAAAGGGGTCGATGAGTCGCTTGTGGAGAACCTTGCCGATTGGTGCACCATACCAGTGACATACGCTGGCGGTGGGAGGAACATAGCTGATCTGGAACTTGTCAAGCGCAAGAGCAATGGTCGGATAGATCTTACCATTGGAAGCGCTTTGGACATTTTCGGCGGACAGGGTGTAGAGTTCCACGATTGTGTCCAATGGAATAAGAAACAGGTGCCTCTATAATCTGATAATTTAGAATCGCTGTATTTTTTGTAGGCAACATTGCTTCTAGACACGAGCTTTTGGACGCGCTTAAATCGCCTGCTGTATTGCTAACACCATTGACCGTGTAGTAGTCGCCTTGTATGGTTTGCGGAATAATCGTTTCATGTACTCGCACGTGTCAAACGTAGAGTACTCCCCTATCCTACCATTTTCCATCAACTGAGTGGAAACACGGAGATATTACGACCGCAGTGCCTCCAGTTCTAGCTCTAGCTGCCGGATTCGTTCACTCTGATCCTGAGATCCCGAACCCACCCGCTTCTTCAGGGAATCAACCTCGGAAGTCAGACGCTCGATGTATTGAGCTTGTGTGCTCAGTAACTTGGTTTGATTTTCCAGAAGGCTTTTGATGTCCTCCAACGTCGTGCCACCAGCTACTTCCGCAGCAGCAGATGGAGGTGGAAGCGAGGCTGCCGACGATGTATATACAGACTTCACAGGGGAAGCTGCTCTTGCTCTTGGAGGCGGCGCAGAAGTTGTTTTGGTCGGAGGAGGCGCGCCGGGCTCGGATCGCGCAGGCATTGCGCTGCGCTGCGGTCGTTGGGATACTTCGTCAAAGCTTGAGGGCTCTTCTACTTCTTCATCTTCGTTATCTTCGAACTTAGAAGCAAGAGCTGCCATAGATCCCTGATGTTCCTTCATAGAGGGAGGCGTGCGGATCGAGGTGGACGCGGGGGCGGGCGCTGGTTCACTCTTGGGCTCCGGCTTCGGGGCGGGCGCAGGAGCCGGGGCTGGGGTAGCAACTGGAGGCTTATAATCGGATGCAACTTCAACTGGCGCATTGCCATCATAGACACTTTCAAGGTCGATCTTGGGTGGGATGCCATCTTTTCCGGCTATCCATTCCTGTGCGCTCATAGCAGGCTTGTTCCCGACACAGGGCGGAAAGATATCGGATTGGAATGTCTCGGCGCGACGAGGGACTGTGAAAGAGATGGGCTCGATATACGTGTCATTGACAGTCTTGTAAGCCCTCATTACCTCGTTTTCGTGGACCTGGGAGAGTCAGCATCATAGACCTTGTTTGACCCTCGCCTTCGACTTACATTCACACCACGCTTAGGCACAAACGCGAGCCCACGCTGAGGCTCTGAAGATTTGTATTCGGAAAGATATTCAAATCTGTCATTCTCGTATTCGAAGTATCGGATGTTTCCATCTCTGGGTGTCACGTTAGAAATCTGCATTGACGTTTCCATTGGGAATAAGACACTCACCCCTTGCCAGCCAAGTAAAGACAATTGCAACTGTCATCTTTTGGTCACGAAGTTAGCATTCGCCCCGCTGCGATGTTGACGGGAGAGTAGGCAAGGATCGTACCCCAGAATGGCATGCAAACACCAGATATACTGTCGAGAGATGTGAACCCGCCGATTGGGGTAGGGTTGCCCGGTTCCCACAATGCTAGCTGCCGGTCACTCATCTTCGAAAACCCAGTAGTAACGATCCTGTTATGTTCTCCCAGCCAGACAGCCCGGCTGTTCTTGGCTCCCTCGTGTCCCGGGCTCTCATGGGCGGGCCGCTCTTGTCTAACATCCCATACTCGGAGCTTCTTGTCTCTGGACGTAGTAACTAGCATTGACCCGCTCGCATTCCAGGACAGGCTTTGTACGATATCGGGGTGTCTGAGGGTATGGGCGGCAGATCCTGCGCTGATATCCCAGAGCTTGATTGTGAGATCGCCAGAGGCAGATGCGAGGATGTTCTCGGCGGCGGGGTTGAAAAGGACTTGTCCGACTTTCCGGGAGTGGCCTGAAAGTTTGGCGACGGGTGCGACGTCGGCGGGCTCTTCGGCGTCGGTAAGCAGGCTAAACCCTTGGGGAACCTGCCATATCATGACTTTTCCATCGTCGGAAGCGGAAGCGATCACTTGGTCATTAAAGGGGTTCCTTGAGAAAGTTAGGTACGTCAGGACAGGTAATTGAGAGGTCGCGTGCGCACCAGTCAGTATCAAGAACGGTCGCTGTGTGGCCACGAAACAGAGGAATAACGTCCGGAAGCTTCCCGCGTTCTCCCAATGGAATAACCGCAAATGCGCCGCCTCCACTTGCTTCCCAGTTTACGGAGAGATATTGCGGATTGGCCTGTGAAAACGGCTCGTGTTAATATATAGCTTTTTAAGGGATGCGACAGGCCCGCTGCGTGTAGGGGATGTTCTGAACGTACCTTAACTAGGTTTGTATCCCAAGCATTTCTACTGATGCGTAAATTATCATAGCAGGAATCCTTCCGGGTGGATTTGCCAAAGACATGCCCTGGATTGAGAAGGTTAGAAGACCTGTCGTTCGGACGAGGCTGGGCAATGGCGTACGGTATTTGGACGCCCTAACAAAGCGACCGGCCATGGTTAACAAGCAGGCGAAAGCTATAGAATGGCAATAAGTGTTATGACGATTTATTAGGTAGGAGGGAGGCCTCTAGAGAGAACGGGATGGGAGTGAAGCGGTGCGATGTGCGAAAAGCCGCAGTGCAATGATTGTTTATGTATACTCGTAGGTAGATATGTATCGAAAGTAAGCTCAAGATAAAGTCTCGTCTCGTCGTCAGGAGCTCTACTGCGCCCTCTAGCCTGGTAACCAACAGTACTAGGTACATATATTATGTATCTACTTTTTATTACCTAAAATCAAGGGGTTGCACCACTAATAATTTGACTAGTGACGGAAACGGTAAGTGGTGGGCTGACATGTTCATGCGCTTCACCCTTGAATTAGGGCAATCTGGTACTTGTAAACTTGGGTTTGATCGCCCCCCGGGGCTCCTAGTTATAAAGAATTGACCAAAAAAGAAAATCTACAAAAGTTGGGACTTGGCCGGATTTGAACCGACATCCCCGGTTACCAATTAGTGAGATCCCGGTTGCTACCATTACACCACAAGCCCATTTGAGTTTAATGCAAAAAAACCCAAAATAAATATATAACCAACACACAGGGTTCTCTTATACAATAAGTACAGCGTTAAGCGACGGACTAGGTAGGTAGTACAATATGCCGACTAGCACGAGTTAGGATCCCGTACTGGTCTGGGGTTGTACTAGTCCGGCGTCGTGCTAGTACAGCCTGGGATCGCGGACCAGTACGATATGCGGACCAGTACGTGCTCAGGCTAGAAACTGGTACGATACCTGTTAGATCTAATAGGTTATAAGATAATAGGAATTAATGTAATGCTTATATAGTAGAAGTTATACGGCTGTAGTAAGGACTACTATAAAAGAAAAGGTCCTCTTATAAAGGGTCTTTCCCTACTTATTTAGTATGTATAAATTTTATAAAAAAAAAAAGTTTTACTTTTTTATAGTATATTAATTAATATATATAATTTAGCTATTTTGCTAGTTTTAATAATTAAAAATCTTATATTGCTTATTATTATTATTAAAGCTTAATAGTATAGTAACTTAGTAATAATAGTATTAGCTAATAAAATTAAACTATTTTGCTTAAAAACATTTTATTACTAAAATAAAAAATTTAAAATAAAAGCTTTAGCTTTATAGTTATAATAATATATTAACTTAAAAAATAAAAAACTTTAGCTTAAATAACTTAAACT